AATACCAGGATTAGGGAGGTGTCAAACTAATCACTGTATTTGTTTAGTGATCACAGGACTTTAATCCTAGCACCACACACCCTAGATTTAGACACCTCTGAAAAAACCATCTATGACCACATGAGGTTCTGGGGGGCTCTGAGAAAATGGACCTTCTACAGGTAGAAGAAATAGATTCTTCAAACCCAGGAGAGCAGGAGGCATAAGTCACCAAAGTCAGAGCCTAAGACATTGAGAAAACCTACTACAGACAAATGTCCTGCAGATTTTTAATTTTTAATTTTTGAAGAATGTCTCACATCGAGCCTGGGGCCTAGGACAAGGAGAAAGTCAGGAAATCCGTCATGTACAACAAAAAAAGGAAAATAAAAAATTTCATTCTTTTGGTATTTAAGTTTTAGACCAAGACAGTTTGCTTTCCACAGCTGCCCTAATCACAAATGAAAGATGACTATTTTGCCCTTTAAGTACCAACGGCATTTCCTTGATGCCTGAGAAAAACCCAAGGACTCACTGCATGTGCCCAAACATACTTGGACCCACTGCCCCCATCTGGTGTGATGCCGTTTTCCTTCCTTTGCTCATGCCCACACTGCTCACTTTTGACTGGCTAGAATACAGCACGAGAGACAATTTTCATAAAAGAATGACTCCACTTTCTTATAAGAGCACCCAGCCTTTTCGCACTACTCCTTGAGTATGTACTGCCATCACAGTGCAAATCTAATGTTTCTTAAAAAACTTCAAAATCAGAGCGATCTGTCACTTTTAAATCCTAATGATCTCTAAGGTATGCACGGTATGGTTCCCCAGTGCTGGTACTGGGAGGAAAGTGGTGTGCTTTATAAAAGCACATACCATTTATAAAATCAAGTCTTCCTACTCTATTCTCTTTCTTCTGTTAAAAACTTATGATAGAATGATTATAATGATTTTTTAAAGATTAAAACAATCTCCCATCCTTTTAAGATATTTTAGGATGGAAAGGATTTTCTGAGATAATGTGCCAGTCAAGTCATGCCAATAGGCCGACGTGTGAGTTTCTAGATCAGCCCCCAGGCAGCACAGAGCACAGGATTTTGAGAGATGGTGCAGTCTAACCCTTCATTTTGAGGGAGGGACTGATATCTAGGTAGGTGAATGATCTGCCCAAAGTAAACAGAGCCAAGATGAAAGCTTCTGACCAAGTGCTCCTGTGCCCCAACCCACAGATCTAAAAAATCACTGAGTGGCTGCACAGAATATCACAGTTCTGTCACACAAGGTGACACTGTAGGTATGACTCTGGGAATCTCAGGCTGAGGACAGCTCAGCAAAACAAAGTTAACAGATCAAGTATCTGACTCAAACACAAACACATCCAACCAGGGTACTATCATGTTTAGAAGATGCTGGTCAACAGCAGAAAGATGTGAACCAAATATTGTGTAATTTCCATTGGCCACATTAAAAAAGAAAAACAGAAACAGGTAAAGTTATCTTTACAGTCTTAGCTAACCTAAAATATCCAGACTTTTAATCACTGTAATATACAATCAATATAAATGCTGAGATTTCACGGTAAATTATATTCCCTGATATCAAGCACTGGACCCCTCCAGCCAACTTGTCCACTCTCAATGGCACCCAGTTACTGAGGAGGTGCTAAATTCCACCGAAGGCCCTTGTTAGAGACTTTGAACTTCCACGTAGGCATTCATAAGGCAGGTTTTCCACAAGGCTCATAAAACAGAAATATATACCAGAGCCAGGTATGGTGGTACATGTCTGTAATTCCAGCAATCAGCAGGCTGAGGCAGGAGGATTCCAAGTTGAAGGCCAACCTGAACTACACAGTGAGTTTTAAGTTAGCCTGGACAACTTTGTGAGGCCCCATCTCAAAATAACAGTAATAAAAACAAAACCGAAAACAGATGTACAAACAAAAAATTCTCCACCTCCCTAAAAAAACCTCAAATCCCAAACCAACAAGACACACACACACACACCCATCTCAGGAGATCTTAAGGTTATATAGCTAAGTACCAAGAGAGAATGAAAACTGTCCCGATGGTTAACACTTGTTCTCTTCCTAGTTTCTGTATTTCTGGCCCACCAGCCTTCTTTAAAAGCGTCACTGTACGAAATACCGCCATGTGACAAAGATCTGGAAAATATTTCAGTGTACAGTTACATCACCTAAGTAACAAATTTTTCCCAGGCTTAGTGCCAAATTCAGCCTTTTACTGTTCAGTATCATCTACAATACTACAGAGCTCTGTGTTCCGATTTATTAAATATTGAGTCATTATTACCAAACACCTAGACTTCCACGGCCTTAGAGATTTTGATCAAGATATTGCCTAAACACAAATTCTGGCCTAACCCTCTGTAACTGTTAATTCTGATTGTCAACTTGACTGGACACTTAGTAGATTAATATAGCACACCCCTGGGTGTGTCTGTGGGTGTTTCTAGAATGACTGGCATATAGGGCTGCAAACTGAAGGGCGAAGACCCACCCTGTGAGTGGCACTATCCAATAGGCTGACAGCCTGGACAGAATGAAAGGGGAAGAAGGGGGCGGTTGACCTACATTTGAAAAGCTTCACGTTTCTTCAGCAGGTGTCTCTTTTGCTATATGGCCATCCCCTGTATACACTGGCCTCCAGTTTCTTCAACCTTTCAATGATGACTCTCCAGGGAGCTTCTAGATCTTCAGTCTCAGGTTGACGCTGCCCCCTTCTGAGTCTTATTTAGCAGATTCCAGATTCTTGAACTGAGTAGCTAGTGGATTCTATGGGTCTCCAGCACACAGCCACTGAGCCACTGTGGACTCTCCTGTAAGCTAATAATCCCATTTTATAATTTTATATACACACACACACACACACACACACAGTATGTATATATATTTATATTTTCTTTTTCTTATTGACTGTTCCTTTAGAGAACTCTAACCAATGCACCTTCCCTTCACACATTCCAAAAATTCTGAGCAGCGTGGATTTGCACTCTTGTGGGTGTTGAGGAGAAATTATAAATGTAACAGATAGGGTCTTTGCCCTGAATGACATATTCCAGGATGGAAAGATAGATAATAAATAAAGTGTCAGGAACAAATAAATAAGGAAAAAAGGCAGGGTGGGTGGCATATACTGATTTTAGACATTATTTATTAGGCTGAACTGCTTGAAACTGCTGATACTGAATTATATTCACACAATGGGCATTTTCAGATAACTCAACCAAATTGTTTCATTCCATCAGGAAACAGTCGAGAATGCTTCCAATTTACAGCCAACACAAAGAACGGGAGAAGACACTATCTAGCACTAACATCAGTAAAATCCAGAATATGGGGAAAAGAATTCTTAGGGCTAGGAATTTAGCTCAGTGGTTCCACTGCCTGCCTTGCAAGCAAGCGCAAGGTCCCGAGTTCGATCCCCAGTACAAAAAAACCAAAAATCAAACAACAACAACAATAATAACAACAAACCCCCCCCCTCGAATATGGGACAAAAAGGAAAAAAGAAGACACAGATCACCAGACCACAGGCTTATTAAATGCATTTGTAGACCATCTCTGTGTCTTTAAAAAATCATGTTTTTTCATGAGACAAAAAGGAAAAGGAGAACATTGCCTAGATATCTAAAGAAATACTACTTTGTGCTCTTTAAAAAATTATGTACATTTAAAAATCTCATACTGTGAAAAGACAGCATACAGACTGGAAGGAAAGTACCTGTAAGTCATATATTTCATAACAGGCTAACACCCAAAATACATAAGGGCATTATATCATACCCAACTCAAGAGCAAGAAAACCTGATTGAAAAATGGGCAAAGACACTGAAGATAGATATTCCTCAAAAGAAGATATACAACTGGTCAATAGGCATGTAAAAAATGTTAACCATCACTAATCGTCACGGAAATGCAAATTAAAATTGAGATATCATCTCACGTGTTTTAGGATGGGAATTACCAAAATGACAGAACATATTGTCAAGAATATGGAGAAAAGGTGGGGATGGAAATCAGTACAGTAATTATGGAAAACTATACAGATGTTCCTAAAAAAAACTAAAAATAGAAACCACCATATGATCCAGGAACCTGCCTTCTGGGTATCTATCCAAAGGAAATGAAGTCACTATGCCGAAGAGACCCAGCATGCCGATGTTTATAGCAGCATTTATTCATAACAGCCAGAATGTGCAATCGTCTATGCGACCCCCAACAGACGACTGGATAAAGAAAACGTGGCACAAATACACAAGGGGATACTATTAATGTTCTCCCACCAGCTTGGACTACTGGTGGTACACGCGTGACTGTCCCATCAGCTGGCCTGTATCTCTGGTGGTAGAAGTGCTGCAGTCACGCATGTATCACCAGTAGTTCGAGCTGCCCAGCAGTAACACGTATGAACTGCAACCCCACTAACATGTTAGACACAGAAAAAACTGTAATATGCGATGCGATGAAACAAATGAACTTGGAGTAAGTGAAATAAAACCAGACAGAGGAAGACAAAAATGCATGATCTCACATATGTTTGGCATCTAAAAATGTCACACTCATAGGAGTAGAAAATAAAATAGTGTTGAGCAGAGGTTGGGAAGATGTTGATTAAAGGACACTAAATTTAAGTTAAGCAGGAGAAAACAGTTTTTGAGATGTGTTGTATGGCATAGTGATTATAATTAATAACAATACAGTATGTATTTCAAAATTGCTAAGAAAGTAAAAACAAATGTACTCACCACCAAAATTGTTAAGTATGCAAGACATTAGATGACTAGTCACCTTAATCACTGTACAATGTATACGTAAAACAATACCAACTGTACTTCATCAACCTATACAATTATTATTATTCAAAATGAGAAAAAAATAAAAACTGAAAGCAGGTCTGTGCCCTTCCTGCCTCTTCTCCCCGCAGTTCCTGTACATCATTCACCCAAGCTCAGATGATCAGCTACAGAAGCCTAAAGCATTTCAGACACTTGCTCACCTGTCAATGAACTGATCGATAATGACGATATCCCCGGGCTGAATCTCCTCCCTCAAGGAGCCACAGGCGGTGGTCACTATGATGTGTGTACAGCCCTCTTCCTTTAAAGCCCAGATGTTTGCCTGGTAGTTGATTTTTGAAGGCATGATGGTGTGCTGCCTCCCATGTCTAAGAGAAGGAGAATTAAATGGTAGATGAACAATAGGCATTTTAATACTGTTAGAAAACGAATTTACAGTGATGTTTTCTGGCTTTTTCCACCACGGTACTTCTACTGGCATAGAAACAATGAGAAGAATTCAGGCAATCCGTTTCATCTTAAGAGCAGGCCAACTTTAAATTTCATATGCTTACTTTCCTATCAAGTGTGCAGTAACTTACTTAGAATTCACATTCTGGGAATATGTACTGTCTATCTTGGGGGCACAAACAGTGCCCCGATGAGGCACCTGGTATGACCAGTCATTTAGCAATGACCTTAACACTCCTTTTGTCCATGAATCGATAACGGCTCAGGTCTCAACCGTGTCCTTCCAAAATTCCTATGTTAAAGACCTAACCAACATCTGTACTTCAAAATGTGCCTGGGGTGGCACAGGATCTTTACAGAGGTAATTAATAGAATGGGCCCTAACTTCCTAACACTGGTGTCTTCATGAGAAGCAGGGATTTAGACAGACACTACAGAGGTTAGGGGGCGGGGAGACAGAGAAAGGAAAACCATCTCTAAGCCAAGGAGGGAGGCCTGGAACAGATTTTCTCCCATCCTCAGAAGGAACCTACTCTGCCAAACACCCTGGTTAAACAGTTCTAGCTTCCAGAACTGTGACAAAATAAATCTCTGTTCTGAAAGACAGCCAGTCTGTGATACTGTAATAGTAGCTCGAGCAAATCAGTTTATCCACCAGTGATTTCCTACCACACTTAAAATAAAAACCCAGCACCTCATGAGAGACCCAACGTCTTCCGGGCCTTTGCCACCAGTGCAACCTCAGGTCATAGCTTTATCCTTCCTCACTCTGGCCTCACTGGCCTTCTTGTTGCTCATCCGTGCTCAGGCCTCTGATCTCCCCTCCAAGAAGTACCTCCTACGACCACTGCTTCTGCCTCACGTCACTATCCCCTGAACTTATTTTTTCCTTTTAGATCCTCACAGTATCTCAAACTATGTGTTTTCTTTTAGGGTCCACCTTTCCAGCCAGAATTAGCTCTGTGGACAATGTCTCTGTGTTCCTCACTGGTACTGAAAGGGGATACCTGCCATGTAAGCTGTTCAATTTGTTGGACAAACAAATGTGTGTGGCTACGATTCTGAGAGTACTTGAAAGACCCAAGTGCATGTACACACACACACCAACACACACCTGCAAAAACCACCGAAAAGAGCTCCAGGAAACAGCTAGTTAAGAGAACTCAATTTCTAAAAAACTCATGTGTTATAAGACATACTTATAAGCAATATTTCATAAAGAGGCCTAAGATTATTCCAGGCTCCTTAAAAACTAAACACATGCAATGTTCCACCACAGAAAGGTACTGTCAAGAGCCAAGTTTCCTATTAGCTGTGATCATTTAGAATTATGCTCTTAAACAAGTGATAGCATACAAAACTTGGCTTTAAAGATGATTAAAAGTTTGGCCACTTTTTATTTTGCCTTACATATTTTATTTATTTTTTTGTGATGTGCATATATATTTGAATACCCATATACATGGTTCATATTATCACATGCATATTTAGACGTAGTTAGAAATCTAGAAATATTCAAACGTTGAAAATAAAGTCTGAGTTTTCAAGAGAAACTGGGAGTCAAATCTCTGCCATTTACTAGTCCTGCTACCAAAATCATTCAGCTCTTAAACTAGTTTAAATCTGCAAAGCAGATAATGAAATAAATGGGCCATAGGGTTTGTTACTGTGTATCCCTTGTCATCCCTCTTCTCATCACCAGCCACAGGAGTCTTCCGAGCATCAAAATAATTGCAGACACACACAGTATGTGGGGTTTCTCTCCTGGGTTCATGGGTAACCCCTCAGAAAGTGGAGACCAGTTATAGTTAGAAAGTATATATGCATTTTTCTGAAGCTAGTCTCCAAAACTCTGATTAGATTTTTCAAAATAAATTAACAAATTAAAAGGAGTTCAGAACCCAGAGCACCAGAGGATCAAACATTTTACAGCAGTCCAGTTTGGAAGTATGAAACCCTCAGCCTCAAATCGCACTACCATTTACTTCTTCCTGCTACAGCTTAGAAAAATTAAGCAGTTCTCTAGCAGTGATCATGGACCAATAAAAGAGGTGTCCTCAAATCTACTGTGGGTGATCAACTAAAACCAAAATTCAGTTTTCATGGATTCCAAAGACTGCCTCCATTTCAAAAATGCCAGACAGGCCTTTGTGAGGCCCCCTTTTCATGCTCTGCGAAGAGTGTAAGGGCCCAGGACTCATTTCCACCCGTTAGAATACAGCAAAGCTGCTGGAGGTCGCTCCAGTGACCAGGTGCCACTTCAATGGCCTGCCCCAGAGGCCCTCCTGGCGGCTTTGCAGTAGCTGCAATGCTTGAGGTACTGTATGTAGCCTGGCCACATGGCCGCTCCGAACTGCAGGTTTCAGCCCTACAACTCCCAGAGACTGAATTCAGCAGACAACCCCAGGAGTTTGAACAATCACCTGGAGCTCCAGATGAGAACAGAGCGCTGAATACACTGCGTGACCTATGAGACCCAGGCAGAAGAACTGGCAAATCGCACCAGATTCCTGACCCAGGACATAATGTCTGCTATTTTAAGCAGCTAAATTTGTGGTAGTACGCAACCCTGAGTAGAAAATGAATACATGTAGTTTGACTAATTTCTAGCTATGTGATAAAATGATGTCACCTTCTCTACAACAGGGGCCGTTACTAACCTTATAGAGCAGACAAGGGTATAAATAGTGCAGGTAACCTAGTTCAGGGTCCCTATGCCCACTCCTCACAAACATACAACTATTACTGCGCAATGGGTCAGGAATGAAGTACTGTTTTTCTTTTACCTTGATAATTATAAGAAAAAATAAGCAAAGGAAATCGTTTCTTCTTGCGGAGCTTCCATTTTAGTTAACTGAGCTGCTTTTCCACTCTAAGCGGGTGGTGGGAAGTCAAGAGATCACTGATCTCCTAAATCAGTATACCTTACTCCAAAGCTACGCAATGGTAAATAAAGGCAACTAAGATGTTCTGAGTCCATGACACATAACCATATACTCCCGAATCATTTCTCTTTCTAGAATTTCAGTTAAATTTAAATTCTCCGTGAGTAGCCATCTTCAAGAAGTCTGAAATACCGTACCTTGCCAGGAGGACGCAATCAACATTTTTTATCTTCCCCAAAATTAAGGCATCAGAGGGCTGCAGGCAATGAAAACTGGATATAACTCAATGATTTTAAAACACAAGCATAAACAATTAAGAAATTACCATTTGAACTGTTAAACCACAGTAGGAAACTTGGAATCTGAAGACACCCTTAGGACAGAGTCTAGATTTGATCAATCAGTATAGCCATCAACACATATTCACTGAACTCTCTGCTGGCCCAAACTTACCAACTCTGCAGTTTGTCAGAGTTGGGGGTGGAGGCTGTGAAGGTGCCATCTCACGAGGGCTATTTGTACCAAATACCCCAGGGGATTCTGATAGCCATTAATCACATTCACCCTTATCAGGGCATCTGGCAGGTTCAAAAGAGTGAAAGGCAGAAAGTTTAGGGGACCACTGTCGTGACACAAAGGATTCTGAAATGAAACAGTCTGCTCGTCCAACCAGACCTCAAACAGCCAAGTGAAAATTTGAGGTAATGCACGGAGAGGCTCTGAAAACCAAGGGGGCTACAAAAGCCTGAGCCTAAGCAGTGGGCCAGGATAGACTAGGAAGACAGGATGTTCATTTTAAGAACTGAGCTCGAAAGGAAGGTGTGGTTGGGATAGCCAGACACAGACACCTTCCTAGGCGGATCAGAGGAACCACGATGTTTGCAAGGGCTGTATGGGACGGGCCTGGGCTTGGGGACAGGCCACCTGTCCTGGACAAAGAGGAGGGTCTTATTTCCAGTTATATTAATACCAACTATGTTCTGGACCCTGAAGACAGGCCTCCTTTGGGCTAGGGCTTTCTGAGGAGATGTCACTTTGTACTATTTCATCCTATTAGTCATCAGCTTGCCCCCTCAGTCACAGTGGTACCTACAGGCCTCAAAGTAGAAGTTGATTTGAATGCAAATTTGAAAAATACAGTTGCTAGGTCTGAAATGAGTGTCTAGTTTCTAGCAACATAAACTGAGAAGTTACACGGGCACATTCAGAAGCCAGGCTGTCAAACAGCGCAATCACAGCATCTTATGGACACCTCTACCTCTTCTGCTGAGGGGCTCTGTGGCAGCCCCAGGCTTCCAAGACAAAAGCAGTTTCTTTTAATCTAAAAATCAAGTCAGTAAAAAAAAAAAAAAAAAAAAAAAAAAAAAA